GATTCATGCCTGAGCCCTACTCCCAAATTTTATCTTCGTTTAGAATCCAAGCACAAGCCTTCTTCCTAGATTCCTGGATCCTGCTTGTCCTATTCGTTTCGGATTTCGCCCTACGGCTTTGGGGCTTAGCTCGAACAGGTCTGGCTCTTTTCAATCCGAGACAGTGAGTTTGGATCAGTGGCCGATACGCCACATGATAACAGATGACATGAAGTGTGCAGAACACAGAGCCGCTGATGCAACTGCAAAACAGTTTCTGCGAGACACCGACCATAACAGAAAAGGTCGGACATCGAAAGGTCTCTAAGAGTCTAGAGTTTAGAGTTTAGGGAGTCACGAGCAAATCGCTAACACGGCGGTCCAGAGCCAAGGCCTTCAAAGCTCCCTCAAAAAAGGACAGCGGGGTCATAGCCAGCTGTCCGCCATGGCAGGCCCGAGCAGGGCCCCGCCGCGGAATGCTGCCGCTGCTACAGCTGCCCCCCGTGTCCTCCTGTCTTCCTCTGAAGCCACTTGAGCCTTGAGCCAGAACAGCAAGAGATGGCGAGTTCGCCAGTCCTGGAGTCCTGGAGCATGAAAAATTAAGTTTGTCAGAACTCTGGCAGCAAATCCCGGCACCCTGAAGATCCTCGTAACTTCAGGAACTTGGAACATCCTTCTGGTAGCCTTGTTTCTGCCCGCATCCCGATCTGATCTCTGGGGTCGGATAGGAACTGGCGCCTAAACGTGGGTCTTCGGCTCACGGCAACGGAACGGAACACATGCAGGCCGCAGGCCTGAATCTCACAGCCTTCAATTGGCGACTCCTGCTGCAGCGCAGGTGCATACACAGCACGTCACGAAGCCACGGAGCAGCGACTTCTTTGCATTTCCTATCACCGTAGACATCGATCAGCTCTTGGCCTGAAGCCCTGAATGCCATAGCCCCAGCCGACAGAACAACAATGCCAGCCCTAAATCTGAGAGTGGATGAACCGAAAACGGCTTCCACGGCAAGTTTCACATGTGGCTAGCGTCTAGATACAAGACCAACTTCCACTTCAGTGAGGCCCCAAGCTGAAGTGCTGTCTCAATCGAGTGTATACGTGCCACAACCCGCCCAGGAAGGCACCAGAATCTAAACATCGGCCCTATGACAAAGCAAGACCTCTAGAATGACATGCAACCCTGTTCTGGAACAAGGCCGTCCTCGCAAAGCTGGGTGATGGGATTGGCGAAGCCCATGTTGGGGTCGGTGTAGCGGCACTGTGTGACCTTCGCGAGGGCAGAAAGGCCTCTTGGAGCATCGGGCCTCAATTCAGCTCGGGATGCCGTCTTCGATTTCGGCGGATGCAAGAGAGAGTGAAGGGGCGCACCGATAGCATTCACCCGGCGTGTGGCCCACGGGACACGAGGTGCACGAAGTACCAAATTGTGGTAGCAGCCATACCACCAGTGTGAAACTGTGGAGCATGGGTGGATAGCAGTGGCACAGGCACTCATCCTTTCTGTGAGCGTGGGCAGGCTTGACTGCAGCTGGATAATTGTAGGCCCGTCAAGTAAAAGTCTGAAGTCTACTGAGACGCACTGGGGAACATCCGCCGTCGCAGTGAAAATGATCTGTGGGAGAACTCCTTCATGAGCATGTGGAAAGCGCTTCCAAAAGCTTTGTGCGATGCCGTTCAACCCGTTGCACACCCTGCACTACCACCCGTGAGGACGACTCCCGTCGAGGAGTCAGAGCCGCAGTCGGCTCACAGCCCGGAATGCTGTCTTCGCATTAGACCCACTGTTCTTCACCCACCTCTCCGATCCGGGGCACCTCGAGAACACAAAGAATCGGCAGCTTCAAGCCTCTCTCTCTCTCTCTCTGCGCCGTGGAAACCCTTGCAAACTTTGTTTAGTCCATCGTCCACACCCAGCGGGTTCAGCGACAGCCTCGCGGCCTCACAACCAAGCAGGTCCCCCGAGTTTGATTTTGGAGCTTTTTCGGCCTGAACACGAACCCTTGAAGAACTCAGCAAATGGTTCTAGGCTTGTAGGCTCTGCTTGTAGGCTCTGTGCGGTTTGGCCGGGTGGCATTGACGCAGGTGAAAGCGCAGGCAAAAGGCTTCCTCGGTTCAAGGAAGATGCAATGGAGGGGGCGTTTGGCGCAGCATCCACGACGGGATGGGATATCACTACCACCGCCGCAGAAAGACCAGCAAAAACAGCTCCCAAAGACCAATAAGTGAAACACCGACAGGAAGTCCGATGACGCATCACCGCCAAAAAGCAAGAGTCAGCGACAGAAAGCTCAAAGAAGCAACAGTCGCTGCACAACCAATAACATTGAGGCAAAGACTGGAGCAGAAAGCAACTACGACGACGAGGACACGACGGGCGACGACCGCAAACAATAGAAAGACTAGTCTTGCAACACACGTGGCGACTCAAAACCAAAACTGCAGCGCAGCGTCACTTGTGCAATGAACGGACATTCTTGTGGGCACGGTCTGCTGGCTGACAGCTCCTTGGTCCGAGGCAGCACCAGCGGTTTGGGAAAGAGCCAAGTTTCTCAATCGGTGCGCCCAGCCCTTTGCGCGCTCTTGCAAGACAGGTGGCATGCCAGTGTGTGCAGTTCATCAGATACCTCGGATGGCTGAGGGTCCAAGGCCACTGGACTGGGCGCGAGAAATCTCATGTGCAGATCAGTGCCAAAAGCCTTGCAAAGTGATGTGCGCCACGGATCACGGCCAAGTTGCGGCATCAAGCATCTCAATCCCTGCAGGGCTGGTCGCTCTAGACTTCTCAACTGTAGAGTGCGATCAAACGACGGCCGTACCAAATGGGCGGACTGTGACAACCTGCGGTTGCTACAGGGAGTCGTTGATGAGCAGTAGGAAACTTGCGATGCCTACGAGCCTGTCGAAGACCCGGCTTCACTTTTAACGACTGCTTCCATCAGCTCGGGCTAAAGGCCGCAAGATAGAATGGCATCGCAAACCGCTTCAGTGCATGAGGCTTCTTGGGCTGAACATACGATCATGAAGTGCCACACGAGGTTTCGCGAATGGCGAAAACCACAGAATTCCCTTCCATTAGGAGACATGGGGAGAGTGAGCCCCGTGCAGTTAGCACTCCTTCGAGTGCTCACGGCATGACTTTGCTGTTGCAAGTGGCCAGCTCCGCCAAACAGCTCCACACGAGGCTTCACTGCAAGCTTCAGGATCTGGCCTCCTGGTCTCCCAATGACACTCTCTGCCCCAAGGCACGGGGACTTTCCCCGCAGCATGCGAAGGAGCGAACTCCCTGTGTGTTGGCTGCGCGGCCGTGCTTCCCCTGCCTCCTCTCGGCAATAGGACAACGGATCAAATCTGCTGCTGCAAATATCTGCATCGTGCACTGAAGTGCCATGGCGCTTGTCCCAGCGAACTCCGTACATCCAGCCGGTCTCAACTCCTTTGTTTGCCCAGCATTAGGAGGCATGGGGAGAGTGAGCCCCGTTCAGTTAGCACTCCTTCGAGTGCTCACGGTATGACTTTGCTGTTGCAAGTGGCCAGCTCCGCCAAACAGCTCCACACGAGGCTTCACGGCAAGCTTCAGGATCTGGCCTCCTGGTCTCCCAATGACACTCTCTGCCCCGAGGCACGGGGACTTTCCCCGCAGCATGCGAAGGAGCGAACTCCCTGTGTGTTGGCTGCGCGGCCGTGCTTCCCCTGCCTCCTCTCGGCAATAGGACAACGGATCAAATCTGCTGCTGCAAATATCTGCATCGTGCACTGAAGTGCCATGGCGCTTGTCCCAGCGAACTCCGTACATCCAGCCGGTCTCAACTCCTTTGTTTGCCCAGCATTAGGAGGCATGGGGAGAGTGAGCCCCGTTCAGTTAGCACTCCTTCGAGTGCTCACGGCATGACTTTGCTTTTGCAAGTGGCCAGCTCCGCCAAACAGCTCCACACGAGGCTTCACTGCAAGCTTCAGGATCTGGCCTCCTGGTCTCCCAATGACACTCTCTGCCCCGAGGCACGGGGACTTTCCCCGCAGCATGCGAAGGAGCGAACTCCCTGTGTGTTGGCTGCGCGGCCGTGCTTCCCCTGCCTCCTCTCGGCAATAGGACAACGGATCAAATCTGCTGCTGCAAATACCTGCATCGTGCACTAGAGTGCCATGGCGCTTGTCCCAGCGAACTCCGTACATCCAGCCGGTCTCAACTCCTTTGTTTGCCCAGCATTAGGAGGCATGGGGAGAGTGAGCCCCGTTCAGTTAGCACTCCTTCGAGTGCTCACGGTATGACTTTGCTGTTGCAAGTGGCCAGCTCCGCCAAACAGCTCCACACGAGGCTTCACGGCAAGCTTCAGGATCTGGCCTCCTGGTCTCCCAATGACACTCTCTGCCCCGAGGCACGGGGACTTTCCCCGCAGCATGCGAAGGAGCGAACTCCCTGTGTGTTGGCTGCGCGGCCGTGCTTCCCCTGCCTCCTCTCGGCAATAGGACAACGGATCAAATCTGCTGCTGCAAATATCTGCATCGTGCACTGAAGTGCCATGGCGCTTGTCCCAGCGAACTCCGTACATCCAGCCGGTCTCAACTCCTTTGTTTGCCCAGCATTAGGAGGCATGGGGAGAGTGAGCCCCGTTCAGTTAGCACTCCTTCGAGTGCTCACGGCATGACTTTGCTTTTGCAAGTGGCCAGCTCCGCCAAACAGCTCCACACGAGGCTTCACTGCAAGCTTCAGGATCTGGCCTCCTGGTCTCCCAATGACACTCTCTGCCCCAAGGCACGGGGACTTTCCCCGCAGCATGCGAAGGAGCGAACTCCCTGTGTGTTGGCTGCGCGGCCGTGCTTCCCCTGCCTCCTCTCGGCAATAGGACAACGGATCAAATCTGCTGCTGCAAATATCTGCATCGTGCACTGAAGTGCCATGGCGCTTGTCCCAGCGAACTCCGTACATCCAGCCGGTCTCAACTCCTTTGTTTGCCCAGCATTAGGAGGCATGGGGAGAGTGAGCCCCGTTCAGTTAGCACTCCTTCGAGTGCTCACGGCATGACTTTGCTTTTGCAAGTGGCCAGCTCCGCCAAACAGCTCCACACGAGGCTTCACTGCAAGCTTCAGGATCTGGCCTCCTGGTCTCCCAATGACACTCTCTGCCCCAAGGCACGAGGACTTTCCCCGCAGCATGCGAAGCTGTGTGTTGGCTGTGCGGCCGTGCTTCCCCTGCCTCCTCTCAGCAATCGCCAATTCTGCAGCTGCAGATCTCTGCGTTGTGCACTGAAATGCCATCGCACGTTTCCCAGCGAAACCTGTACATCCAGCTCCTCGCAAGCCATCACTACCAAGCACAGCCTCGCGCGTAGTGTCCATCGACTGGGGCCGTGTTCAAAGAGCGCAAGGCATGGCAATGCTGTCGCAGGTGGCAATCTCCACAGCCAAATGGCTCCAGACAAGATTCTGCACGACTCAGACAAACCAGATCGACAGAGCTTCCAACACAGTCCTCAGCACTTGGAGCCCAAACCTCCTACACTCCCAATGTATCCGTCGCGCAGGCTGCTATATTTGGTATTTCTGAAATCCGTGGTACGTGCACAGGCTGCAAAGGCGTCTCCTTGTGCAGTCGGATGCTGACGGGGTTCCAAACCCGCAAGTTTATCTTCAACACCTCCTTCACCAGCTCTACCCGAAGCCTTGCCTCCTGGCGCTTCGGCTGCGCTGGGGCCACAGGAGCACCAGGAAGGAATGGAAGCCTGGGACGGCCAGTGTCCGTGCTCTGGCCCAGAGGAGCCGCGAACGTGCCACTGGATGGGTCAATGATTCACCTACATTCAATGCTCGCGTTCGGTACCCGGAGGTTGTCGTTGCAGAATCCTTTCGGATCTGACGACTCGACCCACCAAAACAAAGATACCAAGGTCAGCTATGCCCGGATTCCTGAATGCATTCGTTCAAAGATGGGTACCACAAAGTTTGCATGCGTCACAAGCATTCCGTAGTCATATGATGTGATGTTGCCATAACAAAATTTGCACGTATTCCTGCTTCACCTGCGTTGCTGATGATACTGGATAAACAGGACTATTAGAGCTTCAGTTAATACGAAGGGTCGCAGTCTGTGCTAGTGACTAGTGCTATTCCTGACTGCCAGAACCCTGCACCCTGCACCATGATGACTGTTGTTTCCAACTTCTCGTCGTGTTCACATTCCAGTTGTAATCAATTGCGACGGGGCACGGTATTTTCACCACCCAGCCGAGCACCGCACCTGTGAGCCGAGGATGCTGTCGTGAAAAAACTGCTGTGCAGTTGACTGTGGCTTTGCTCTCGGTGTCGATGGTTCTGTGTCTAACGCCCAACTTTCTACGGCTTCCAGTGTTCGCGTGTTGCGTGTTGGGTGATGCACTTGGACACAAACCAAACACCGCCGCAGGCGCCTGTTCTGCCCTTCTAGGGTGTTGCACAGAGAGACAGGCGGAGCAAGACCAACAAACCCAGAAAAGACTTCACTCCAGGGCTCAGGTCCGATCACGTCTGTGCCAAGCGGCTGAGTCCCTGCCTCAGCTTGGGCTGGTAAACGGCAAAAGGAGCCAAAGGTTTCAAAGCGATGGGTCTTTACGGATCGAGTGGGTGAAGGATCACTTGCGAGCAACAAGCCTTCCTGTACATATTAGTATCAAGCGGCTAACACCACATGACCACATGCAAGCCCCTAGCTCCGAAGCTGAGAGCCATTCTCACACCACTACCACCAGCCCGAACATCACCACCACGATCACCCTGAACATGATGATCAGTTTGGCAACGACAGCAACCTGGAGTAGCATCTTCTCCTTCTCCTCCTCCTCTCCTTGTTGTCATCGTCATCCTCATCCTCATGCTCATCCTCCACATAATCCAAATCATCACCATCATGACCGTCATCATCATCATCATCATCACTGTCGTCATCACCGTCAATGCTATTTTGTTAACGTTACCATCGCCACCGTAACAGGCTCACCCCAACGACAGCTGCTTTCACCTCAAACCGAGCTGTTCCGCACTCTCCTCGAAATAGTGAAGCCCTGGCTCTTGAGCCCACATCCTCGACAAGCAGCACCCTCGATCTGCAGGTCACTGTTTAGCCCAGGTGCTGAAGCCAATTGCCCTTCCCCTCGATGGGATCCACCTTGACACTGGCATCCTGCAGGTCACAAAGGCGGTTTCGGCTGGCTTTCGAAAGAGCACGGGTCCTTGAAGAGGGGCCGAGAGACCCCACAGCTTTCCGGAGAAACGAGGCCGGAAACCAGAGGCAGAAGCCACAGAAGCCGCAGCCAGCGCAGGCCCGGCAGGGAGGGGCCATGCATGGGAGGCTCGAGGCTCTTTGGCCTGGGCCGTGGGCCTTGGGGTCCCTTTCCCTTCAGCGTGTGCAGCTCCGGCTTCTTGACAAAATTTCCGGACAACGACACCACCCCTACTCAAACCGACATGAGAGTTAAGTGATGAGTCGTCGGCACGGCAATCTACCCGTCGTGAGTGACCCTTTCGTGTTGTCAGTTCTTGCTTGACAGGTAAAGTCAGGGTGGCAAAAATCTGTGCCAGATCTACTGATAGAGCTGCGGCAGATTAGTTTATTGGAGATTGAAATTCATCTGCCTGTGGCTTCTCAAGCTTTTGCTTTAGGGGAATGATGCTGAGGAGGCTGCTATGGATGTCGTAGATTTCGGACGTTGGGCTTCGGAAGTGTTCTTCCAGATTTGGTGAAGCCAGATGGCTCAGTGGCATGACGTTGTCTCAACGCCCGCCAGTACTGCCTCAAGTGCAGATTGCAGGAACCTGCTCCGGACGACCCGAGGTCAGTCTTTTTCTGCGCGTCTTCCTACTCATGCACCTCCAGCCGAACTCCAGTCTTCGAAAATGAATGAGCAGCCAGCCGGTAATCCGAAGAACGCCAAAGATGCGGCATAGAAGACCCATAAACTCCCTGGTGTACTGGGCCACTCACGTCGCACGTGGGTAGAGGAGGTAGTACTCCTTCGGTGAAACCTGCGACCGCCGAATGACTACACATCTCGCTTTGGCACATAGTCAAAGCTTTGCAGAACCCCGGACCATGCCAACTGCTGAGAGTCGAACTTCTGCTCTATCTGCTCCGGCACTGAGATGTTTTGCGATTCAGATTTCCCGTGATCCAAAAACCCAACCTTTCGTGCGCAATGCTCTGTGTGTGTGTGTGTGTGTGCGCACGGCGGTGCAGCATAGCAATGCATGCCTTAGATTGGGATATCAAGGAATGCCAATCAACTCGTGAGGCGCACTGCCATTTCTCCATTTCTGAAATTCCAGACCACAAAGCACTTCGCCCTCTGACACTCGAAAGTGCCTTACGCTTAGAGATTCCCAGCTCGAAGTTAGGACCTAGGAGATATTTTCCAGCCCTGACTCTGAGCCAGAACTGCAAAGAAGCCGAAAGCCCCCCTCCTCAGAAGGTCATTCTTGCCGCCTCCAGCAGCCGATCTTTGCAGGCGTTGATGAGCTCGATAAAATAGTTGCCTCACTATGGGGAGGGCTTCTTTCAAAATCCGCCTTGAAGCCTTAAGCCCAGCTTGGGCGAAACAAGCGAGAGGTGCAGCATTTTGGGTTTGAAGCTGTTTGATACCGATCTTTGGACAATGTCTGCTCGGAGTTGAAAGACTCCGTTCCCGGGCCTCAAACCTGGAAATCCTGCAATAGGCTCAACAATGGTTGAAGAACAAGTTGATCAAGACCTGTGGGATGGCTATACTGTGGCTTTCTGCCTTAAACCTGCAGTTCTGAGGGACGAAATATACTAAGTAGACTTCCTCCCACCCTGTTCAGGTGCCCTGACCATCGTCTTCAAGCAGCTTCAGGTACCGCTTTATGACGGCTTTGTCGGTGCAGTCCTGCACTTGCTCATCGTCTTCGGCTCCCGAACAGTCTCGTCTGAACTGCTGCAATGCCCTGAAAAGAAAACAGTCTCGGCCCTCAAAGCTTCAGGGTGTCAGTGGGAGCAGAAAGCCCCCGAAGCTGTTTCTCATGTCGGCTGGCACGAAACCCTGCTCCCAAGTCTGAGTCCAAGCATGACGCGACTGCTGCAAGTTGGACGGAGCTGGCTGGCAAGGTGGCTTGGGGACCCGATTGAGCTTCAATCACACAGATCTCTCACATCCGCCGTGTAAGACGGAAAGATCCTTGATCGAGTCAAAGTCGATGTCTTCCAATTTGATTTCCTGAGTTCAGGATTCGGGGAGCACCGGCTCGATCCAGTACTGCGGTGCGTTTTTGCTTTCATCGCTCAGGCGGGCTAATCTCCGAAACGCCAGGATCAGTGACTACCTTACCAACTGGGAGCACGGCGCTGAGCGACTTTTGCGGGGACATGGCCGAAAGCGGGAAGGAGGGCACTAGGCTATGTGATGAAAGAGCTGACAATGGTTGTACTGAGGAAGCATGCTGCTCCTTTCCGCCTGTCCGCCTAAACTTGCCCCATAACACCATCTGTGGTACAGTGTTGTTTTGTGCTGGCCGACTTGCCGCAAGTGTTTGTTGACTGCACCTATCTACGTCCCATGGAGCAACGAGTTCCTTACTGAGCAGCTGGAGCACGGGACGGGCAAGCGTTTGGGCTTCCTGCACCAAGATGTGTGTACACCGGACACCCACCCAAACTCGTCTTACATGGACATGGCTTTGGCTGAGAACAGCCGGGCAGCTCAGCTAAAGGTCGGAAAAGTTTGCTGACTACTCTCATGCACCTCAAACGTGAGCGAACAAACAGATAGCACAAACACATGCTACAAACGAGGGTCCAATTGCTTATGTTCCTGTAGATAAGCACGGCAGATCGACTACCGACTACTTATCGATATTCGAGCTCTCTACTCTTCACAGACAGACTTGTTGCATTGAGCGTGAGCCCACTTGCTCTTGGGCCAAACACTGCTTGGATTGAATCCACCGCCGTCTATGCCCTTTTTCGCCGGCCAGCAGCAAACCCGTGCTTGGAGCTTGGTCACCTGTTGTGGGTGTTCGTCCAATGCGGTTACGCCAGCCAGCAAACGATATGGCAGCCACTGAGTTTGCAGAACATCGCAGAAAACAGGAATCACGATTCTCGGTGTAAGTTCCAGGCTGCCTGTGTGATTCTGATATCGGCAACCAGTCTTCCCAGTAAAGCTCTGCAGTTAAATCATGAAAACAGCTGAGGGGTCCACCAAAGCATGTATATTATGTTGCAACGAGACTGCTTGCATCGTCTTCCACACCTGCTGGGTCACACCAGCAATGGGGCCTGAGGATGTGTTCAAATTTCGGTGCTAAGAGCTAAGAGCTTAGGAGGGTTCCTGATTCAGGCGGGGAGATTGAGGAGAAGTGACATGTGCACAACAATCTGTATGTAATGTATAAACATGCATGTGCGGATGTATGTATATGTAAATGTAAATGTACATGTACATGTATATGCATCTGTATCTGTATCTGTATATGTCTATGCATATGTATATGTATTTGCATAGGTATAGGCCTAGGCCTATGCCTCTGTCTATGTCTACGTCTATGTATACATATAAAATCATATAAATATATACACACATACATACATACATACGTACATACATACATACATGCATACATGCATAGGTAGAAGAAGGAGAACAACAACTTGGTTGTGTTCTGTTCAAGCACAGGGTTTAATGTGCTTACCGTCACTAATGTCACTAGAGTTGCTGTTGAGGACCATATGTATGCATGACATGAACATGGCAAACATGTCCGGTCCGGCCGGCTAGTCGAGGATGAGCGCCCTCTCCTGGCTGCTTTAGAAGGCTGGATAGCAAAGTGTCAGAGACCGATTAACTATACGGATGCGAACCCGACAAGTAAGCGCAACAACTGTCCAAAGCACAAATCCAAACCCCACACCAGATCGCAGCATGCTGCACCCAAAGTCGGAAATCCAGAAACAACCGTGCAAGTGTGTTAAAACCCTGCAGCGCTGCCAAGTACAAAATGCCTCTTGCATCTGCTTGATGATCTTCTTCAGAGCCGTGACCTGACACTGCCGAATCTGCCGCCCATTGCAAGTGAAGGTTGAAAGAGCTTTAGAACTTTAGGTTTGACGGTTATCCGGAAAGTCGGGGAACACAAACACACAAACGAAGCGACTCGAAGCGTACTGGAGGCGAGTGCGCAACCGAAACGAACCCCCAAATCGTATTTCACTCTTACCTTTCATTCCATGCAATGCAGCGAGGCTTGAAAGTCCGAAGCAAACTCTTCGCTCATAAGTGGTTGTGTTCAGGGTTTGTTTTTGAACTTTTTGGGATCAGGGGCTACGGTTCAGGGGCTCGGGGCTTAAGGTTTAGGCCTTGGGCTTACTGCGCAAAAAAATATCTGCAGGAAATGCAGCACAAATCGAACCGAACTGCATGAAGACGAGCGCAACACACAAAGTTGTGCAGCTGACATCTGGGCCATGTCTGTTGTCACCTTGCCTGTGTATGGACTTGCCCAACTACTCCCACAGATTTACAGACTGTCGAATCCTAAACAGCTGTTGCATTCCTTTCGGTGCACTTGCAAAAGCGACTGTGCACGCCCGGAAGTTTCCATGAGCCATTTGCTTCCCAAACTCTTCTACGGGATTCTGCGGCACCAGCGAGGGGCAAGTTTCTGGGCAACTGCCTGACTCTTGTACGCTTGCAAGTCAAACACAAGAGCCGCAACAAATTTGAACCCCAAGTTTCCCGAAACACCAGTCTGTTGACAATCGCGTTTCACCCAAATCGAAGGCACCAAGCCTCACAATACCCCCCCGCCCTCCAGCCATTCTCGCCTGAGCATGGCTGGAATATTTAACCGGATAGAAAAACGTGAGGTTTCCAGTCGCTTCTGCATCGGGCAGTTCCTGAATCACATGATTTCCTGAATACTGCAGTTCCTGAAAAAAGCTTCCTTAACCGCGGCCTGTTTGCCTTCCGTGGCTTTGTTCAGCAGACTTCAGCTCAACACAATTCGACGCGGACTGATCGGCGATGGTAACCATCATCATCTCCACGGCTTGAACCCGCATCGGTACCATCCGAAAGGTAGAAACTACAAAAAACGCTCTCATAGTTTCGAATCCTACCGCTGCGATCGCCCTCAGAAACACTCAAATGTCTAGAGTCTAGGGCATATCAAGAAGTGTAGCAAATCTCCACGGTGCTATTGTCTATCTCTCTATCTGTGCTATGCCCCCTCACAGATCGACTGTCTTTGCTTGTTGGAGAGCCAGATACAGCAGAGAGACTGCTTCGTTTGGATTGGTGCCCGTTGGGGCATCATGTCAGCAGTGCATGAACAAGACACAACAGCATGGATTGTTTTTCAGCATAACAACTGTGAGAATGCAAAATGTTGAACACGCATGATTTCGACTTATCTTATTCAAAACTCAAAGAAGGGAACAAGACTGACAGGTGGGGTGGATTCCAGGGCAAACGACTCACTAAAGGAAAGAAGACAAGCAAACGCACGCTCTTTTCTACTCGTTGTTTCAATTTGACCTCTTGTGCAGCGCAGGTTAGTTTTGAATTAATACACAGGAACAAAGTCTATGCGCCATGAGTTCATCCAAATGCACAACGCGGAATGATAAAGGACCTAAAGTTTAATGGCACATCTTATGACCGGTAGTCAACATTACATTCTATCTGCAATTTCTCATCGTCTCTCGTGCAGCACTGTGCTGTTGCCATCGCGGTTACTGTTGTGTAAAGCTTTATCCCTCTAGACTATATGCTAGACACACAAACAGCACAGGGGTTTAAGGGTTTAGGGCTTTAAGGGTTTAGGGTTGATATAGGGGTTTAGGGGTGTAGGGTTTCAGGGGTTTATGTGTTTAAGGGTTTGGGGAAAGCCATGAAGTTCTACTCTTGTGTAAAAAGGTGCATCTCTGCAGACTCTACAACTGCACTGCATTATTCAACGGCGGTAGTAAGGTAGTAACGACGATGGTATCGGCCGCGACTGTCGCCTCTGTACCTGCGGTAGCTACGACTGTCACTCCTATAGCGACGACCGTAGCTGCGGCTGCGACCATAGCTCCCGCGCCTTTGGCTCCGGCCTGCACTGGGCTTGGTATGCCTTGGGCTGGAGTCGCTGGAGCAGCTGTGCTTGCAGGCGGTACGGGGGGAGGGCCTTTAAAAGGCGGCGGTGGGCCTGTGGGTTCCGCCGGTGACGGCCACTTTGAGCCCCAAGACTGGTCATCATCTCTGTGTGGGGCTCCAGGATGGCGGCTGTGAGTGTTCTTCGGTGCTGCCAGCTCAGCATGTAAGAACTTATTCGAAGCCATCCTGGAGTCCCACTGGCCGTGGATCGCCAGGGCGACGCTTTCGGCCGACTCCGGGGTGTCCTTTTCACCGGAGTCCTGGACACCCAACTCTTCGATCGCGGCTGTGATCGCCTCGGCTGTCTCTCTCGATCTCTGTCTCTCTGTCTCTACATATATGTATAATGCGAAGACTAGTCACTTTTCCGCCAAGCCGTAGGCTTGGTCCAAGGGGCCCCTGCGGTAGAGGGGAACGTCTGAAAGCTGTACAAAACGCTAGGTACACACACTGTACGCGCTGCAAAACAGGTTAGTTTCACACCCGTGACTCTTACAGCGTCAGTGTGGTGAGACTTCGTGCTCAAGGATCAACGGTCTTGCTCGTTGTCCTCTTCCTTCTTCGTCGACCTCCTCTGAAGCTGCTTGGCGCGCTTCTTAACGACACTCTCGAGCGGCTGCTCTACGTCGAGTGTGTTGGTCTTCAGGGCTTCAACCAACTTGACCGGCTCCATGACCTTCGTCAACGGATCAGCGATCATCACGTCAGTGTCTATCCATCTGACGATGTCAGTTAACTGATCATCCGCTGGCTTGTAGTCGTCGTAAAACGGATCTCCTGCTTTCTCGCCAGCTTTGCGTCATAGCTCCTGTCTGAGAGACGCGATCTCGATGCTCAATCTCTTGTCCGAATGCTTATTGCATTTCGGATTCGAAAGCGTCAGCTCCAGACTCTTACAGTCTGTCATCCAGATCTGTTTCACAAACTTGGCCGACGTAGCCTCCCACCTTTTCATATCGAGGCATCCGAAGATGTCAGTGACTGCTGCTCTCAGCACGTCACCGTCCTCCACACCTGCCTGAAGTGTGTAGGCCTCTGCCTGTATGGTGGAGCGACATACCCTCCGAACGAGGTTGCTCGCCCACAAGATGGGATGAATGCTACCCTTGTTCCCTTTCCACAGGGCGCCGTCTGTAAGAAACACCATCCTTGCACCTTGGCTCCGGTGTCCTTCCACAGATGTCATCTCGTTTATGATCATCTCTTCGGACTCATTCGCGTGAGAAGCGTCCGTAATCACCAGGCTCAAAAGAGCACCTGGTGTCTTCCAGTCCAACAGCCCAGACTTGAAAACAAGTCCTCTGTCGTAGGTGCTAATAGCGTACTCGACCGCTTTGTTGGCATCTCTGATGTCAGCGACGGTACCATTGCTAGAAGCCGACTGGATCTTGGATACCCTATAGCTTAAGTCGGGTCGGCATTGTCTGCAAACCCAAGCAAGGGACCCAGCGAAGCTCTTCATCTGCGTCTTGTCAGAGTCCGTTAAGGGATCTCCCGGGTGCCTCCTCTTGTCAACGTGAATCTTGTTCACGTTCCTCGTTGTTTCGCTGCAGGTCACATGGATATTGAAATCCTCGTCTTGGCTTATCTCCTTCCCGCAGTACCTGAAGCTCCCGGTCTCAACCTTCCCACACTTGAACGTCTCAATGAGATCGTTCATGATCCAATCGCATGACGGATCACAAGCCCACAATAGATCGTCTACGTGGGACGTCAAGAGCAACTGTACAACCCCATCGGCATCTGTGTAACTGTACAAAGCGCGGTAGATGCGGTTCTCGCGAAGTCCTTTACCCTTAAGGTAATTCCTAAGCCGCTTCCAAAACCTTCTACCACCATCTGTGCTGCCGTAGATGGGTGCTCTCGCCAGCATGTGCTGGTGGGGCTTAAGCCCAGGGAGTCCTCCCTTGGGCTGAGATAGTAGAAGTACTCTATCTATCTCTTCGCCTTGAAAGTAGGCGTTAGTCACGTCCAGGGATTTAATCTTGACCTTCCTAGAAGCCGAAAAGGAAAACACTAAGTTCTGAGCTTCTATGCTAGCAGTAGGGCTATCACTCCTAGGATCACCCTTCTCAAGATCACCCCGAACAACCAACCTACTCTTGTAGTTGGCCTCCACGGTAGGATCAAGTAACCTCTTGTTGTGGTTCTTGTCCAGCTCTACCCATTGGGTAGGTATGACTTGATGTCCTTCACGGATCAACTCGTCATACTGGGCGTCATCAAGAATGATCGCAGCACTGAAGTCCTGCCACTTTGCCCACTCTTTGGCTCTGCTCTTGTCCAGTTCCTTCTGGACATCTTCAGGGCATTTGTGGTACATTAGGATCTTCCCGTGCTTCTCCTTCTGCTTCTTGGACGTAAAGTTCTTGCGGCGCTTGCGCCACTGCGTCACTTTCTTGTCGTCCTCGACGCGGTCTGCGAAGAAAACCCGTAAGGCCTCGTACTCCTTCTCCCCGGGGAGTGAGTTCCAAACGGTTCTTTCCTCTTTCGTCCAGAAGTGGCTGGCGTAAGCCCTCAGAAGAAGCGCTTAGCTGCCTTCCGTGGCCTCGGCCTCACCATCGGCGTCCACCGCCGTGTCCTCAGCCATCGGCTCTTGGATCCCTCCTGGAGGGTCCACCTGCTCGTCCTCCGGCTCCTCCACAGTCACGGCCCGTGACTCTTCACGTGTTGCTCCAACTCTCCTTCGAACAGCTCGTTCTGGAGCAGCGGCCGCAGTCTCTGGAGGATCTGCTTCTGTATCCACTTGGATCGGAGAACCTATTCCAATTCCTCCGTCCGGTGGCTCTTCTGGGTTGTCTAGTACTAGATCATCCCCGGTGGCATCAATGTACCTTTGTTGCTCGCGTTCAACCTCCGCGTGCTCGTACTGTATGTTGCCACGGTTCAACACTTGGAACGCTAGAACCTCAGCCGATGTGCACGGTCTGACTCGTGCCAAGCTGGTCGCCACAGGTACGCCCTGATGCACCACCCAGACTGTTTTGTTATCGAAGCCGATTATTTTACTAACAGTCGACCACGTACTGACACCTGAGTGCTCATCTCGCGCGATCCTATAGCAAACTAGGTCGCCAGCTTGGTATTTCCCCGGCAGGGGAGCCGCTTTTCGCAAAACGGTCTTTCGTACCCTGCGACTGCAGTCCTCATGGACGAATGCCTTTCTGGCAGTGTGGCGGAATTCGGCCTGGCGGCCGAACGCAGTCGTGGCATCTAACCTGCCCGACAAGACTCCAAGCTGTCCTAGCTCTTCCTCGTCCAAAACGTGGCCCACTCCTCTGGGCAGGCGTCCAAGCACCCACTGGGTGGGGCTGAAGCCTCCAACACGCATGAACTCGTTCTTTGCGACCTGCGCCTCGAGCATCGCCACCTTGACATCATCTTTGCCCACAACGTTGTGGTCCTTGACCAAACGCTTGAAGGCTCGCTTTATGATGCCTCCATGCCTTTCGCACTTTCCTATGTGCTCAGGCGATTCCAGTCCGGCTTGGCGGATCTGGACTCCATGGCTACCCAAGCCGTGAGCGAAAGCGCCCCGGTTGTGTAAACCACGGTCGTGGGAAACCACCTTTGGCCACCCAAAAGGGGAAACCCAGTGCTGCATGAACTTCTGCAAGCACTTGGCTGAGCTCGGCTGTCCGCCACCAACGCGGACCAAGGTCACAACTTGATAGCTTGTGCCGACATCTATAATGTTCAGCCAGCTAAACTTTGCGCCTGTTGAGTCTGCAGTCTCCAGCACGTCCACCGAAACTGTGTGGTTGAACTCGTAAGGTGGTGGAGCTGACACAGGGTGTGTGCGAACCTTCTCTTCGCTAACCCTGCAAGACTCACACTTGAAGATCTTAGCTGCATTCACCAACTCTTCAGAAGCACCTGCCCCACGGAGTTCCTGCACTAGCACCTCCTTAGGCTTGTGGTTCATCATGGTGTGCAATCTCCTGATCCCCAAGCGAACACGCCTTGGCACCTTAGACCACGCCTTCCTCCTTTCAGACTCTTCCTTCGGAAACCCTGCTAGAGGCAACGTGTCTAAGATGTCTGCTTCTTCGGCGAGTTCCAGATCATCCATAAAAGTGGTCCTGTTGTCTCTAAGATCCACTATAGCATCTAGAGTACCAGATTGCTCGACCTCATCCTGCCTTGCCTCAACAGGAAACGCTTCAGCAACGTGGTCCTCTACACAGCCCTCTCGCAACACAAGCAACAAGGTTTCGGCAAAACCAACTTGCGTGCCTACTGTGTCGATGCTCACAGGTGAGTAGTGTATGTCATGGTCACAGTTCGCCCAACTAGACATGACTTCACCTATCGCCTGCGAAAACGTCCCTACACACAGGTCACCCCTACACTGAAACAACTGAAACTCTCTCTCAGTACCCTCGACACTGTTCTCGAACCACAGGTTCCACCTAACACTGCCTAAGCTGTCAAGAACAAGCACTTCTTTTGTGTACGCGGAGAGGGACTGGAGCCAGGTCTGTACCTGCGGGGTGAGACCTACCTGGTCTTCCAAACTGTACACCAGGAGCAGGAGGTCGGGACGGATCTTAGCAATCTCCTTAGAGATTTGCTTTTGCCAACCGATGTCCTCCAGAAGGATCATACGGTAGCCAGGGTGTCGCACGATCACCTTAGCGCCGGTCCTCTCAAGGGATCCGGGCTGGAACTCCGAGCTCGCCAGGGCAAAGATCGTGGGCGGATCGCCCGTGATCGCCACTGACGGAAGCCCCAAGGCCTGCATCAGCAGGTCGTCGTGCGTGTTGAGGTTCTTGCAAGAATCCTCAAACATCTTTCCGGTCTCCTTTTTCATCACCTTCAGGTCAGAAGCCATGAGATCCGGAAGCATGCCTCCAACGTAGAAGGCACTGCCACCGCGTGGCGGGACCAAGAACACCAACATGTGGCGCGGGTGCTGGTCCCAACGGTCGCCGAAGTAAACCCATGAGTGGGCGGCCACGTTGGTCTCGCGCCACTCCCCTGGCCCATCGGGCGTCCATTGGATCGCCACGTGCTTGCGGTAGCGCTGCAACTCCGTCGGGACCTTATCCCAGGAGTTTACAGCGTGTGCCCTGTAGGACACACGAACCGGTGGTCCGGCTCCCTCGTGTCCCACGCCTGGCTGCAACCAAGTTTTTAAGGCAATTTCGCCGTGCCTCTTGTGTCCTGAGATGACTTGGCTCAAGTAGCCCCCCGAGAGGCTGCCCGGGTTGTTGGGGTTTTCCCCCAAACTAGCCAGGTCGTGGCGGGTCTCTGCGTGAGAAGTTGAGGCAGAATTGGACTCTGTATGAGTCCTTGGGCCTCGAGGGTTGTTGTTCGGCCAGCGTCCCTTGTCTCCTCGGCCTTTTCCTTTTCCCTTCTCACCTTTTCCCTTCTCTCCTCGCCCGTCGGCCTGTGCCGATCGGGTCCTTTCTCTTGGCGGTGGGTCCGCCGCCTGAGCGGTCGTCCTTCCAGCTGTGGTTGCGCCAGGTTGTGCCGCGGCCTTGGAGATCGCCTGGTCCAGGCTTCGGTTCGCCAGCTCCAGGTCAGTGTCCCACTCTTTCTCCGTCCGCTTTCCGGATCGGACGTCAGCCACCAGCGACGACAAAAGTGCCCTCGCCGCCTCGTAGTCTAAGTACTTCGCGGCAACGGCGCAGGTGAGCGAGGTGTGGTCCACGTACTTGGCGACGAGCGTATAGTGACTTCCGTAAGCTTCGCTGGGTTGAAGACACTATAAACCCTAGAAAGAAAAAGAAAACTTACCTTCTCGAGGGACTTGTCATCTAATCCTTCCAGCTCGGGGCGCAAGTCGTGGACTGGCACCGACACTCCGTCTGGGGTCTCCACCGTGAAAGGCTGCGCCGGTGCCTTCGAGCTGGCACTGGCCTCGGCTGCCCCAGCGGTGTCGTCCTCGTCGTGGTCCTCATCTCCGGGCTGCTCGCCTTGAGCGGCCTCTTGCTTGACAGCCGAGTCAGGCTGCGGCGGGTCACTGCTTGATCCCGCGCCCGCTGCCTGAGCTGTCCCCGAAGGGATCGGCTCTTCCACCACGACGCCATCGTCGCCTAGGCGGCGCTGGCCATCCTTTCGCACCCACACCTTGGGCACGAATTCGAACCAGCGCTCCCTCGCGAAGTCCATCACCTTCTCTGCGGTGCTTCGAGCCTCCTTGGACTCCCAGTTGCACTCCGCGCAACCACCGCATAGATATCGCCAGTTGTAGCCGTCGCAAAGGTGAAGTAGACTCGCTTCCACTTCATACGTCTCCTTTATGAGATCGTACATGATCTTTGCATTCGAGACAGACCTGTGTCTGCCCGATTTGCAAAACATAAAAATCACGCACTGCTCGTTCTCCTGGATGAACTTGTGCACGGCCGGCACGACCTCCTTCATGAACGCCACCCATTTTCCATTCGTCTTCGGGTCCAAAACCATGGCTTGCACGTTCTTGGGGTACGTGCCTAAGTGGTCCCTGAGGAACTTGTCCTTGCCCGGGTCGTTCATGTGCCGGCAGTCCAGAAAAAGGATCTGTTCCGTGGCGTAGTCCCGGAACAACTCAAAGTTCTGGCGCAGGCTTTCCAGAAGCGTGTCCTCGTGGGCCTCGTTGTTCAGCGAGAACTCGTGCGACTGCCCCTTCCGCATACCCCGGAAAAGTTCCGTGAGTCCACGGTAGGTGCCGCGCCCACGTTGGCAGGTCTCTAGCTTCTCCAAGCCCAACGTGACCACCAAAACGTTCTTCCGCTGCCCTTCGGTCTCCTTCACCATCTCGGACAGCATGTACGCCGTGCTGTCCTTGTCCCCTGAAGGGATCAAGGGTTCTTTCTTGCGTGACGTCCCGTCCCTCAAAGGGATCGAGAAAGTGTTCTTCTCCTTCTTGGATGTCCTCTTAGGGATCACCTCCGGATTCACTGCAAACTTTCTGTGCCTGCTCACGCACAGGAGGAGGAGGCCGGTCTTTGAGTGCCTCGCCAACTGCAGTGTCCCGGAGTACCCCGAGATTCGGCACTCGCCGCGCCTCAGGTCCTTGATCAGGCCAAGCTGAACCTGATCCTGCAAGGACAGGAGGCAGTCCAGCTCCACGCTGGAGAGCTCTCCTTGCAGACGGGTGCTCCGGCGAAGGCCTCCGCTCTCCGGCATGATGCGGAGGGCGAACGGCATTGCGAACTTGCCCGTCGCTCGAGCCGCTCCAACGCCCTTGAAGCTCGTGCCGCTCGAGCGCACGCTGGTGAACTGCAACCCAAACTTTGCCAGGACCTTTGAGGAGTGAGCCCTCCATTTCGTCCCGTGGCACGTCTGGTTGCAGCCCTCGTCCAGCATCACCCAGACGTTTTCGTGGTCCTCTAAGGGATCCACGAGCTGGAGTTGCGGCTCAGCAATCTCCTCGTCCAGGGGTGCAGGCTCACTGTCTGAGCTCTGCACGCTCTTCGGGCTGATGTCTCCTTCGAGATCATCCTTCTGCAGCTGCCCCACCAGAGCGGTGAGCGTCAGCTTGGTGTCCTCTCCAGGATCACCTTTCTTTTCCGCCGTCGCCACGCCGGCGAACTTCTCTCGGCTTCCCCAGCCCTTCCCGCTGGGAGGCGACGCCGCCATGGCGTCTCTAACAGCTGCGCCTCTCTCTCTCGGGCCAGCTGCTGCTGCGGCGGCGGGCGACGCTTGCTCACGAGGCTGTGCACTCCTACGCTCTCTACGCACGGGGGAAAACGCAGGCAAAGGTGGGGGCTCTACTTCCTGACTAGACCTAGCTACGTCAGCTGCCCTACCATGTTGCATGCGTAACTTCGTCCGCTCTACAACCTGGTCCATCGCATCCTCAAGGCAACTAGACAACTCGGTTGAACTGACTTGGTCAACTTTCAACAAAAACTTGTCCATGTGCTTGAAGAACTTCTTAACCACCTCACCTGCCTCAAACTTCGTAAAGTTGTACTCCTCCAGCTGTCTCCTCGTGAGGTTCTGCACCTTGAGTGGAGACTGCTGCACCTGCTCGGCGAGTCCCTTCTGCTCCTTAAAGAGCTTCTGCGGGATTTCCTCTACCACAGTGCAACAATCAAGACAAAAGGTGCGGTGTACCGATCTCGTGCTGTTCCTGTTGTCTGTGCGCTTGTGCTCGCACGTGCGGGGATCGTTCTTCGGTACAGCCTTTGGTCTCGGGTTTGAGGTCCTGGTGCCGCACAACATACAAGTAGTCTTGATTACATGCGCGTTGCTACCGGCTTTGTTCAGAGCGTGTGCGGGACAGCCGCCAACACACGGTCCTTTGGGATCCGCCTTCAACAACCCGAGCTTGCTCTTAGGTGCCTTCTCAAGGGTCACCTCTTTCCTAGCCTTCTGCAGCGAGTCGGCCTCCACCGGCAACGTAACTGCCCTGAGTGTAGCCCTTCCACCGCCAACCGGTGGAACCTCAAAGTTGCAATACACCCAGACAAGCCATGCTTCTAGCATGGTGCTCGGCTCTTTCTCCTTGAGACCCCAATGGTAGTAATCGGGGTGGTTCTGCAAAACCTCAAGGTAGGTGCTACCCCTGTGCATCCCGAACCGAAACACCTGGTCGCTGCCATCAGGGTACTGTATAGTATCCCATTCCGTGGAGGGGGCGCCTTGCGACGCAAAGTCGTCCAGGAGCTCTTCGTCAGACTCTTCAAAGTCGGTCTTGTCGAAGAAACCCATGTACGCCGCAGGCTCCGTCTCAGAGTCCTGACCCAAGCTAACGTAGTTCGCTGTTGGCTCTGGGTCAAAGCTATGACTCTCGCTGTCGCTCTCCCTGGGGCTAGCGCTAAAGTCGCAGGTCTGTGTGGACTTATCCATCACACGCCTAACATGGGCAAGGTGTGCCACTGCAGGCTTTCCTGCTCCTTTTCCTGGGCCTGGGCATTCCTTGTCACCAGCCCAGTGGCCCTTTCTGCCACACGTTTTGCATGTGCTCCTGAGTTTAATCTCATGGAGCTTCCGTCTCCTGTCTTCAACAGTGAGACCGGTAGATCGCGGCCGATATCCATGTGCACTCCTCTGCATCACAGACTTTCCTTTACCCTTAGCCTTGGCCCGCGCCATAAAGGCAACGGTCTCGCACTGCACGGTGTCTGCGAGAAACGCCAAAGCCTCTTTGTCTTCCTCGTCGAACCCAGCGCTTATAAAGGCGGTGAAGACATCAAGCTCGACGTCCCTTAGGGAAGCGTCGGCCGACTGGGCAACACACGCGGTGTCTTCTTCTCTGTCGTACACGGGGAGTTCTTCTCCGTGATACGCCCAGTCCTGCCCTTCACCGTCTAGGCCGTCCTGGCCCTCTTGGCCTGCCAGGTAGGCTGTTCCGTCGTCGTCTTCGTCGGCGTCAGGGTACTCGAAGAGGTCTTCTACGGCCGAAAGGTACGTGTAAGCAGTCCCTTTCTGGGATCTCTTGCCGTATCCTTTACCTTTTCCTCGGTCTCCCTTCCTGGGAAAACCTTTTCCTTTGCCAGTTCCGCCTTTGGCGGATGGCTGCTTTCGTTCCAACGTATGGATACGATTATGCATGCGAATCAGCGATGCTTCAGCATCCTTCGTCGCTGTGCTGCCTGACATCGAGGTCAGCACCATGAGTCGCTCTTGCCGGGTGAGCCCGCTGTTATCCAGCAACAGATCTGTCAGCACCGCTTCACTTATGTGAAGGGCCTTGTCTAATTGCTGAAGCTTGCGTAGCCACCGCTTGCGGCGGTCGATGTAGGAGATCATCGGCTCTCCCGGCTGTCGTGACAACATGCCGCCGACTTGGGTCCCTAACCGATAAAGTTCTTTCGTCTCTTGTTCCGCCAGAGGGAACAGGCGTTCTCTAACTGCCTCGATCACCTTGGGGATGTTTTGACTCGAGAACAGAACGTCGGTACCCAAATCCTCTGCGACAATGTATGCCTCGCTCCTTAAGGAGTCGAGGAACTTGGACGCAAGGTCGGATCTATCCTCAACCTTGGTCTGCTTCCACCTTGTCATAGCTCGGAACTCCCACTCGTGAAAGTCACGAACGGTTCCGGCATAGACTAGGAAGCCAAACTTCGTCAGGTCTGTGTCCAGATCCTGGTGTGGTCGATATGCCAGCGATCCACTAGCCATGGCGACCACACGCCCGCGCAGGGGGCGTACTATTGGGCTACGAGCTCTGGTTCTCTTAACCGAGAGCTCCGCTACCAGTGCGAAGACTAGTCACTTTTCCGCAAAGCCGTAGGCTTGGTCCAAGGGGCCCCTGCGGTAGAGGGGAACGTCTGAAAGCTGTACAAAACGCTAGGTACACACACTGTACGCGCTGCAAAACAGGTTAGTTTCACATATAAATATATACATATGTGTGTGTTCTGCATAGTCTATGCGAAGAGTATGTGTAACTACATGGTTCGTGGCGCGTTCCCGCGCGTGGTTCTCATCGACGGACGTGCAGAAAACATCGGCAGGGGCGGGTTTTGAGCATGTCGGTCAAGGCATGCCTATTTTAGGAGGGAGCCTATTTGCCTACTTGCTTGTATTGAAAACGGTCATGGACGTGCAGAAAACATCGGCAGGGGTGGGTTTTCAGCATTCCGGGCAACGCATGCCTATTTGAGGGGGGGAGGCTCTTTGACTACTTGCTCGCATTGAACTGGGCGATGGAAGTGCAGAATACATCGGCAGGGGTGGGTTTTCAAGAGATCAGGCTTTTTTTTCCTACATTGGGGGGCAGGCTGTTTGAGTACTTGGTCGCAAGTAGTTGTTACGGAAAGTGGCCTTTTCGTCGTCTCGCATGCTCGGCGCCCCGTCGGGCATGCTTCAGAGTGCAGAAGTGGAGCACCCAAGAGATCAGACTCCATCCCAGCAGGATAACGTCCAGATCAGACTCCACCCCAGCAGGATAACGTCAAGATCAGACTCCATCCCAGCACGATCACGTCCAGATCAGACTCCATCCCAGCAGGATAACGTCCAGATCAGACTCCATCCCAGCAGGATAACGTGCAGGTCAGACTCCATCCCAGCATGATCACGTCCAGAACAGACTCCATCCCAGCAGGATAACGTGCAGGTCAGACTCCATCCCAGCAGGATAACGTGCAGGTCAGACTCCATCCCAGCAGGATAACGTCCAGATCAGACTCCATCCCAGCAGGATAACGTCCAGATCAGACTCCACCCCAGCAGGACAACGTCAAGATCAGACTCCATCCCAGCAGGATCACGTCCAGATCAGACTCCATCCCAGCAGGATAACGTCCAGATCAGACTCCATCCCAGCCGGATAACGTGCAGCTCAGACTCCATCCCAGCAGGATAACCTTCAGATCAGACTCCATCCCAGCAGGATAACGTCCAGATCAGACTCCATCCCAGCATGATCATCAGCAGTAGTAGAACTGCTAAGAGTAGAACAGGCTCGTCATTAAGCCCCCCCCCCACCCCCCCCCCACCCCCCGAAGCCGCAAAACATGCAAAAACCTGCAGAAACTACACGCGCGTGTACGCGCCACACTCCAACTACATATATGTATGCCTGTCTATATGTGTACCAACCTCACCCTTTGTATATATGTGTAGATAAGCAAATAAAATTAGACACAAAAGAAAAGTCATGAGTGTCAGATTGTGGCCAATAGACGTGTATTGAGTTTATCTATATCTACATCTTGTGTACATATAAAGTATATATGTACAAAGCTACTTTTCTTTCGAGTGGCCCACTTGGTCGCATTGTAGGTGACATTGCAAACATACACACGGTAGCAGTCGGCAGCTGCCATGGCCGCCAAACAAAACTTTTGCTATAAGTTAGAACACCCAAAGTCAACAACGTTTATTCTTTGTGGATAAAAATCCAGAGCATCTATGCGAAGTTATACAATCCAAACGTTTTACAAATACTGTGAATAAGCCGCATCGGCACATGGTGGTGACATCGTGTCGAACACATCGTGTGTAGGAGATACTCTGTCGCAAAACTAGAGTCTCTCCTGCTGTAAAAGAAACAGCGACCACGGCCACAAGTTTCGGCTCCAACATCATTTCGCAAGCCTCGATAAACCTCTTCAGCCGGCATTCTCTGCACTCAAGCAATTCCAACTCGAAAGTGTTAGACATTGGAGAATGTTTTGGGGGCTCACAGACAAAAGGAATCCGGGCTGTCGGTTTGCGGTTTAAGTTTGGGGAGTCGGGTTTGGGGTTTCGGGTTTGGGGGTTTATATAGGGTTTATGGGTTTAAAATTAGTTTTGGGTTTTAGGGCTTAGTGAGGGTTGAGGGTTTTTGTGAAATACTGCTCTAAAGGCAAGACAGACTCGCAGGTAGAAAGATTGAAAGCAGAACCCATCGCATGTAAAGGTGCACAAGGAAAATCTCGCAAGTAACACAAAGCTCCCCATCGCATGTAAAGGCGCACAAGGAAAATCTCGCAAGTAACACAAAGCTCCCCATCGCATGTAAAGGTGCACACAAGGAAAATCTCGCAAGTAATATACAAAGCTCCTCACATCGCATGTAAAAGGAAACACTCGCACAGGTAAAAAAGCAGAACTCATCGCAAGTACATATACAAAAATCCCCGTCGCAAGTAAACCTGCTTTGAGGCTTTAGGCTATTGTGGTGGTTTCGGGGTTACAAAGGCTTATATACAGTATATGATAGGGATCAAATACATATCACACAGAACAGGAAGCACTCAACCTCACACACACACACACACACACACAAATGCAAGAAGCATTTTTTGCCGCAGTCCTTGCCCCTCTGCTGCCGGAAGGTTTACCCTTTGTGCTTCTCACAAAAAGGGCCAAAGATGCATTATGCTAGATGGCATTGTGGCAAATGTAGTGCTCTACATGTAAACAAAAGACATATAGAAACACACCGTGACTAGCCCCCATGGGTTTTCTCAGAGTTGTGGGAAAACAAACCACGTTTATATACAACATATATATGCTTAAAACTCAGATTGTTATATAGTCTACAAAGTGTAGAAAACCCAGGGTGCGCATCATCCCGCACTGAACACATTTTGGTGTTCAAACCCCCAGCGACTTCATGACGTCCCGTCGCAGCTTGTAGAGCTCCAAGAGCGGGATGCCCTGCTCGACGAAGGGAATCATCTTCTCGATCACCTCATGATGCTTCGGACAGCAGCTGGAGATGATGCTCCTCAGCTTGCCGCCGTTATCGTAGTTGCGGATGTAGGATTTCTCAGAGTAGAACTCTACCTTGCAAGATCCGTACTTTTCGGCGGACACCCATTTGTTAGAAGGCGAAGTCGCCGCCGGCTTCGCCTTCGCCGCCGGCTTCGGCTTCGCCGCCGGCTTCGGCTTCGCCGCCAACTTCGCCACCTTCGTCTTCGCCGCCGACTTCGCCTTCGCTGTGGCTTTGGGCTTGGGGCTCTTCTCTTTCGGCTTGCCGGTGGCTTTGGGCTTCGAAGCACCCTTCTTGGCCACAGCCACCGCCGGCATGAAAGCCATGGCTGATGTGAGGATGTCCAAGTCGCACTCATCCGTGGAAGAGATCACTTCCACATCCTTGGCCGGCCCAGCCCCGGCACCAGTCTTGATCTTTGCCTTTCCGGCCTTTTTGTTCTTTGCCTTTGTGGCCTTCTTCTTCAGGGTGCCCTTCTTCATAACGATCTTCTTCGGCTTGCTGCTCTTATAGATGTCCGCGAACTTCTTCGGCTCGCTGCTCTTCAAGGTGTCCGGAAACTTGGTCGGGCTGCTGTTCTTAAAGATTTCCGGCAACTCCGGGAACTCAACATCCTGCAAAGGTAGGCTTCTCGTCACCCCGAAAGGGAACAGGCTTCTCATCCTCCTTCACGGGAACAAGGGCCGTGCTGGGGGAATCAAGAGGCTTCGGGGCAAACTCCTGCACCTGCACCCTTTCCAGGCAAAAGTCAAGCTTCCTGATTGTATGTTTCCACAGACTTAGGTAAAAAAAGTTTGCAACACTTCTTTGTTCCGTCACACGAATTGTATATACACCGAAAAAACACGAAAGACATACGTGCAGCCACGGCACACTTGATCCTCGTGCGACAGGGACCTGTAGACTTTCCGCTTGAAGCTCTCCTTCTGCTTCATCGCACGGAGGTGGCTAAGAAGAAGACGGATGGCGGTGTCCATCTTGTCCACGAGGTCCCCTGCCTTGTAGTCTTTGTGGCCTTCGAGCAGCAGGTTCTTTTGCTCGTGAAGGATCCAAAAGCTTCGGGTAACCCGCTGCGACAACAACTTCGTGTTCGGGGCGAGGCGAAGAAGGTCAAACAGCAGCCCTGCTGTCTTTGCCAACCACGGACCGTGGGCGGTAGTGTGCCAAGTGTAGCTTATTGGCCCGCCCGGAGGGGGGCACAGTAAAGGCCACAGATCCTTCGTCTTCTTGAATTCGAGAAAGCCAAGCACAACATCCGCCAGCTCCTTTGCTGTAGTAAAGGGATCGGCAACCACTCGGTCCTTGGCGTTTTTGCCCGTTGCAGCGGAAGCGCCGTCCGCCAGCTTGACCGAAGCTGCAGCTGCTAAGGAAGCCATGCTCTCGCACAAGACTGTATATACTATGTATGTATAGGATTTATGATTTCTCAAAAAAATGGAATGCATTTGTCTCTGTCTCCATCCAACCTCGCACTTACCTCTGGGTCTCGTCTGTGGACCAAACACACAGCTGCAAAGTCCGAAAATTTTTCTCACTCTCGGATCTCAGAAGTATATATATATATATAAGTTATATAAGTAGATTTCTCGCATGTAACCTACAAGAGTCTCGCACAAGTAAAGGTAGACTCCTCGCAGGTAAACTATATTGTGATTTCCCGCAGGTAAACCACAAGACTCTCGCACACGTACATGTACCGATTTCTCGCATGTAAAAAGCACACATCGCAAGCAATCCGCCGGCTCGACCCAGCACAGAATCAAACCGAGCTGCGATTTCAACATGGAAAACCATGGCTTAACAAGTATGCTTGCAACACAATTCTCATAATTTTATCTTCACACATGACCATGCCGCACTGTACAGTCGCAGGAAAATCTCATGCAATCAACAAGCAGAACCATGATAAAAGAAACAAAACCAACCAAAATTAGCCTGCATTTCCCTTCTTCAAATTCGGGAATGTGTAACCTAA